GGGGATCTATCTGGGGCCATGTTGTGACCTGGTCCCCATGGGACCAAGTGACTTCCCCAGAAATCTGGTCCTTCTCAGGTGCACCGTCTGGGGCATGGCCTCCTCGCTGTTCTCCTCAGAGCTGGAGCCGCGGGAGGAGGCCGCAGGCCCTCCAGCCATGCCGTCCTCGCAGGGGAGCGCGTTGCCCTGGCACACTTGGCTCCCTGATGACTTGAGGCTCTGGTTAAAGACAGCTGAGGCCATGCACTCGGCCGCTGTCTGGTCACAGGCGCAAAGCAGCTTCGTGCACAGGCTCTGCCCCACACCTGAGGGTGAGAACAGAGTCGCAGACGTGAGACGTAGGAGGGTGGCAAGGGAAGGCCTCGTGGCAGCCCTGTCCTCCCACCCTCCATCTTGAACCTCTTGGCGTCCAGCATATACAGATCCCGCTACTGGAAATAGTCTCAGCTTTCTCTTCCTGATTAACTCACACTTCTGTGTCAAGACTCGCCTTAGCATCACCTCCTGCAGAAAGCTCCCCTGAGTCCTGGCTAAAATGGAGTATCTTTCCTGCAGGCCCCCATCCAGTCTCACCCCATGGCTCTTTGACAGCAGATTTTTTAATTTTCTATTTGTGTTTTTGTTTGCTAGATCTGGCCACCCTGCCCTATTTCCTGAGTGTTTCAGTGGTACGCAGTGGGGGTGGGCATGGATAGCACCTGTGTGGCTCGAATGAAATCATGTGTTTCAAGGAACCTAGACATAGATAAGCATTCTGCAAAGATCCTTCTTATCTGTAGTTTTCACCGACGTATCCGGCCTGTTGAATTTTTTCGTCTGATCCTACCATGAAGTATTCATCCACCAGATCAAACTTTTTTCTCATCACACTGACTCTCCAAACCTCCCACACTGGCCTTCACATCAGCCCCAGACACACTCGTTGCATTTCAGCTACAGGGAGAGGAGAGAAGTGGAGCAGGGGGGACACACACGTCAGCCAGCTCCCCCCAGAGCAGCTTGCCCCTCCCGCCCCGTGCCTAGTGACAGGACAGCACAGAGTGGGCTCCGGGATGCCCTCGCGTCTCATCAGCTGACAGCTGCCCCTCATATAGGACAGAGCTCAAGGGGTGGGAACTGGTGCCTGGAGCTCCATGGGAGGCCAAGCTACAAATGCAGTGTCCTGCATTCTGTGACACAGGAAGGACTGGGGAGCCGTCCGCTGAGCAGGTGACACCTCATGGCATGATTGCATCATCTGACAACCATAATCTGACCCTGCCAGTCATGGGCTCTAAGCCCACCCCTGCCCCTCGTCCCCTGTAGGACAGAATGTAAGTGTGTCAATCTTGGGTTCATGAACTGGTACCTGTCTGTCTCCCCAACCTCACTGCAGCACAACAGTCCCCTCATGACGCCCGCTTTCTCTTCTGGCAAGACAGAACTGCATGTCGATCCTAAACCGCCAGGAGTTCCCAAAAGGCCACGACTTTTCTCTTTATCTTTTCTTGGCACATCCACGCCCAGCATGGCCATCCGGAAACATGCTGATGTCTTGTAAGAGCTCACCTCACTACCTCTTCTGACTTCTCCCACATTCTCCCGCCCTCACTGCCAGGCTCTGCAGGCTCCACCCCCCCGTTACCCACACTCCCAGGACACCTGTACTGCCCGTGAACACTCTCTCCATGAGATTAGAAAAGTCACTGGTTTTTCTCCCTTCCCTCCAGGCTGTGAGGGATTTGAGGCAGGGATCGTGCATGCTCACTGCTTTCCTAGTTCCCGGTGGAGGTCTGCTGTATAAGTACGGAGGTGAGTGAATGAGTGAATGAATGAAGGACACGTCAGCACGGAGCTCCTGGGAGTGAGAGGCACACGTGACCCTACAGGATGGGACAGCACGGAGGCGCATGTGACGTGCTAAGTAAGGGGCTGCAGAGGAAGGAGGGAGGATTGATGGAAGCCACCAGCAGCTTCCCCAGATGAAAACCGAGGACGAGGACAAACCCTCGCAAGCCTCTTGTGAATGCTGCATTTCCTTTTCAACTGCAAAGCGTCAGGACAATGCAGAGCCGCTGATGTGGGTGAGGAAACGGAGCCAGAGGAGGCAGACAAGGCCGGTGCTAACAGCAAGCCCGGATCTGTGTAAGAGTGGCGCTCACGGGGCCTGTGCCCGTTTCAGCCGTCCCCGCCTGAGGCCCTGGTGGTCACAGAGGAGCCTCCAGTTCCTTAGGGAGGAGCAGAGCTGCAGCCCCACGTCTCCCTTCAGCCAGAGCCACCCTCCTTTATGGGGTCCCTGGGAATATCTCCCTGGGGAAGAGGGTTCTGCTTCTTAGGAGAAGACATGCACTGGCATGGACTTTTGGGTTTTACGGTCCCAAACCCAGCTCTCTCGTTGACTCCTGCCTGGGGGACCGTGGACCTCGGCAGCCACCTCTGTACTATGAGGAGACTCCTAGTGTTCTGTCCTAGGATGGCTGTGAGGATGGACTCTGCTAATACTTAGCAAGAGCTCAGAGCAGCATTCAGTGCGCACTCAATAAGCATGGACTCTGTGTTGTTTCGGGTCTGCTCTAACCAGCTCTGTGACTTTAGGCAGCTGACTGAGCCCCTTGAACTTGAGCCCCCTCTTCTATGGAATGGGGATCCTCATATGCACCTGAAAAGTCACATTAGAGATGAAAAAGTGCTGGGGAAAGCACCCCTCAGCATGAGCCGTGGATGAGGCTGACCTGAATGAAAGAGTAACTCGCCGTGCAGGCCTGCAGCACTTACACTTGGGGACGCCATCCACGCACACCACCGGTGACTGAGGCAGCCTCTCGAGCAGGCAGCCCAGCCTTCTCACCTGCTCCAGGCAGCAGTGATGGGACAAACAGCACCTAAGACCAAGGAACACCCTTTACTGCTCAGAGCTCCCAGCTGCCCCAGGACCTCCCTCGCGGCCTGCTTCTCCCACACTCTGTAGCAGTGAGAGCAGCCAGTGCCTTCTTTTCAGTTCATACAGCGCTGATTTATATGCACACCAAGAGCCGCTCTGTATGGTTGTTCAGGTTGTGTACTGCACAAAGATACTACATCAAATGCAGTGTCAATTACACTGTCCATTATGATTCTGTTGACTGCACATATGAAAGAGTTTCATATTTATTACAGTAATTTTCCAACCATTGGAAATAAAGAGTCTTGAGGATGGGGTACTGTTTTTAGTTTACAGAAAGGTATGAATTAGCAGTGGTCCTTCTCCCTCCAACCTTTTACGTAATGGAACAGTTAATTGCACATCCACGGGCACCTCACTTGGTCCGCAGCCTTGAACGGGAGGAAGCAGAGTAACTATCTTGAACATAAATAAAGAACTGTGTCTAGAAATGTGCCCAGCATGGAGCAAGACCTCAGTAAACATACGGGGATGGGTCAAGGTCTCGCTGAGGAGACCCACCCATCTGGCCTTTGAATAAAGCCTCACCAACTCCAGTGGTCCCCCAGCCAGATGGAAGGATCTTGTGATGGCCCCAGCCAATAAGAGGCTACAATGGCTCCCTACATCCTTCCTTTTCAACTCTTGCCTTTCCTTTAATAACTCTCACTCCATCGTGGAGACCACGGCCAGAGCAGGGATCCGGCATAGACTCTTGCATCTCCTTGAAAGAGCTTGTACTCAGCCAAGTATTAGCTTCACCAACCTTTCCACATTACCAGCAATGGGGGGAACCACCCCACCTCACATGTCACATTAGCCAATGGCTGCAGGTTGGTGTCGGGTACGAACGGCAGTCCCCATTCAGCTGTCATTCCAGCAGAGCCACACTGTCTTGTGTGTGCATTTGGCTGGGGTGGGTGGCAGTAGATCGTTAATATAATAGTTTAAAGTCTGAGTGAATCAGAAATCACATATGATCAAAAATATCCTTAAAAAATCACTCAAATTGCCCTGAATGTAAAGTATGCACCTTTTTGAAAAGACACCCTTGCAGAAAATGAGATCAGTTTGACTCACTCTTGCTTAGTGAAGGCTGTGGATTTTAGTGTTTCAATTTCTTCCTTATGCATCTCAGAGGAAGCCATATGGTAACTGATTTGATTGCCTGGTCAAATCCCACATTTTTGTGAAATATGGTCAGTGGTCAGAAAACCTTTTCAAAAGCATCCCCGTTTTCTTTCTATGGTGTTCAGCAGAACACAGTGACAGCTGCTGCCTAGATTCCTATGCCTGGCCTTATGTCACTGAGGGCTATGGACTCGGGAATAATAAATCGCTCCTGGCTTGGAGAGTAAAGAACAAGAAATTGTTCTCGGTCTTATCAAATTTCATAATGGAAACATGCTATGATGCCACAGTGTGATACATACTTTGCTAGAATAAAAACTTCTTTAGTGTCACCCAGTGGAAGGTAAATTTTGAAAGGGCCCGTACGATTGCAGTAGAATGAAAGAAAAATCATGGGTGGAGGTGGTGGGTGCTACAGCCACCAGGCACCCTCTGACCTGCGGGTGACATGTTCCACATGCCCGCCATTACTGTATCCTTCGTGTTAACTACAATAAGCTTTGTCTTTTTCTTTTTTTTTAATTTCAGCAATAGTTGTCTATTTTCCTTTGGGGAATCACGCCATCCGAGAGGGGCATGTACTTTTTCAATGCAAGGCTGTCAGTTGGCTGTAGACTGGGGCTATCTCTATGCGCAATCAGTGTGAAAACCTTATCAGCTCTTCTCTCAGGATATTCCTCAAACTCATCTCCAGGTTGAGCTCTCCACCACTTCCTCTGTTTTTTCCCACAGCATTTATTATATTGGGTGGGATTTTTGTTTAGCTGTCCATCTCTTTCACTACGCAATCTCCTGTGGGATACGGTCAATTCCTTTTGATCTGCTTTGTTTAGGTTTCATCAGTTTTGTGTCTCCACCACTGGCTGGCACAGAGCAAAAGCTCAAGAAATGTGGGTTGAATGCATATCTGAATGGATGAATGAATGAATGAGGTCAGTGAAAACTCTCCTGAGAGTGGTAGATACAAAATTTAGCAGTTACACTGAAAAGTTGTTAAGATGCTAACTTCAGTGTGGCCTCTTACAGAGAAAATCAATTGCATGCCCTCATTCTATATGTCATTCATTGCAAAATAGGCAGATTTGGGGTCCTCTGAAGTGTTTTTGCAGGTTCACCCTCTTCAAGAAGCTGGGAGGTATTTGTGGTGGGTCTCTAGACCCCCAAATCAAAAGACGTGGGTCTGCCTGACTCTGCCCTTGGGTAGCTGAATGACCTCAGACACGTCTGAGCCTCAGCTGTCATCAGGAAAATTGGCCTATGATGGTGACGAGCCACCCTGAGTGAGGTAATACAAGCAACAGCTCTTTGTCAATCCTAGAGTGATGTCAAAGGAAGAGGAAGGTGCTGACCTCTTTTTTCAGGCAGCATCAGTGCTGTAGGCCTGACACCCTCGCCCATCTATACCTGTCCAGGGCGTCCCTGGGTTCGCCACGTCCTTCTTGCCCGCAGTAACAGCCGTAAGACTCAAACTCCTCCGGGCACCGGGATGTCAGACAGAACAGCACCTCTCCAAGCTGGGAAACCGCCTGTGTGTGGTCCCCGTTCCCCAGGTGCAGGAAGGTGAACCTGTCACAGGCTGACGAGAAACAAGGACTCAGGTGAGTGAGCGAGGTCAGGGCATTCTTCAGGAGAAGGGCAGCGCTCCACGTGGGGACTGATCACACCAGGAGCCCATGTCCTGCATCTCCTGTCACCATTCTTCTGGGAAACTTCTGTGGCTAGTCCCCTGTCTGGGATGAGCAGAGAGCAAGTCTCTGCTCTGTGCAGACTCCTGGCTAAATCCCCCCAAGCGTGGGGACTCATCAGGACCAAAGATGCTCTTCAGGCCACACTTTATTACTGAGAAAAGTCACTGTGTCCCACTCAGGCTGCTGGGGGACCGCTGGCTGTCCTCTTAGGCTTTCTGGCTCCCTCAGCTAGGCACATGCTGGCAGGACTTGCCTTGCAGAATCTTGATTTTCTCTCTCTGCCTCTGTCTCTGTATCTGCCCCTCTCTCCACCTCTACCCCATCCCCCCTCCTCTGCCTGAAACTTTGGGTAAGTTACGCTAAAGTCTACTATGCAACCCCATCTTTATAGGTTTGGTGGAGGGAGAACGAAGAAGCCAGAGATCTTGTGGGGGGCTCCTGGCCCAGCCTCCGTCACATGCAGCTGTCTCCATAGCATCACACACTGTGGTGCTGACATGATGGTGCCAAAGCCCTCCTCTATGTCCAGCCGCCCGTGTGCCCTAAGGAACCTGAAGGAGGGGAGCCAAGCATGGATGAAACCCAAGTGTTTCATTCTTCCCAAGAAACCATGGCGTGGACGATGCCAGGCCCTTTCCTTCTGGGCCTGAGACAGTGGGGAGGTGAGGGGTTCCCTTCCCCTGGCCCAGCCTCCCAGGAGCTGTGTGCCTACAGGCAAGTCACAGCCTCTCCAAGTCTCTCATCTGGGGTGGCACCTTCTAGTGGCACCAACGTGACAGGGTCACAGTGGGATACGGTGGCCAAAGGGCTTTGCCAGCCACCTAACCAAAGGATCTCAAGGCTGGGAAGGGACAGACTCTCCTCTGCCTGTCTGCTTCTGCTCACCTTTTCCAGTTGTCTCCTCAGGACCGCTTTTGATGGATGACACGGCCAACCCCAAAGATTTAACGCCCGAGGGGACAACAGTTACACCTCTAGCTGCGACAACGATCTCTGCAGAGCCTGAAAACACACACCTTTATGGTCCATATTTAAAAAGTGGCTCAAGAAGGGAGTTGCAGACGAGCCCTTGGTCAAGGCCAAGTGCAGGCAGATATCTCAGTGCAACAAAGCATCAGGAGAGTGTCCCCAAACTGGGGTGGCAGACATCAGAGCGGAGCCTCAGGGATCCGTGAATGCTACCTGGGTCCCACATTCTCTATAACCTCGACACTGGCAGGAGCCTGTGCTGGACCCCGCGGATGCCATCTCCTGGATGAGAACTGTCACAGCCGCCCAGGCCTACGTTTGCGTCATGTTCACTGTCACACACCTGCCAAGTGCAGGCCCATCATGGTGCTCCCAAGGGAAGAGCTAAGAAGAATGTTGGAGAAATTAAGCCAACTCATGGTCCACCGTAGTGTAGGCCAGCTAAGCTCCTCAGACCCCTCAAAGCATCGCAACAGCTTCTCATCACACTCAGAATCAAGTTCAGGGTCCTCACCATGCCCAGCAAGGCTGCCGGTGAGCTGGCCCTGCCTCCCTCACACAGGCTCCCGGGCACTGTCAGGACCTCCCCTTGCTCTCGTGTGTCAGTTCCCTCTGCTCTCTTAGCTGGAGGCAGCGCGCTCTCCAGCCCAGGGGCCAAATCTCCAGCCCAGAGCAAGCAGCCGCGGGCCCCACCCCACTCATCTGCCGACTCAGTTCGGAGCACTGTGAGTCCTGGGCCTCTTCATATATGCTTGAGGGGAGGCTAGAAGAAAGCATCTTTAAATGCTAACAGTGTCTAACTTTACAATGTGGAAGTCTAGGTGATTTACATGGAAAACAAAATACAGCTTTCTGTAGTTTTCTAAATACATCTCTGTAGCAGATAAGCTTCCATGTCTTCCTATGAATAGATCTAGCTTTGAATTTCATTTGTCTGCTTTTTGGGGCGTGTACATGTAAACTGGCTTCCTGATTCCTTCCATTGGAGTTTGGTGTCCTTTCCCCAAGGCCCCTTTAGAACACACCTGATTTCAATGTATAGGGGACAATAATACGGGGTTGTCGGGGAAGCCATGACGTATTTTTTCTATGTTTTTCGTTGCAAAAATGCGTCATGACTTTTCCGACAACCCCATATATACAAAGGCAGAAGGAGCCGAGCGTGCTTACCTGGAGGCGCCGTGGTCCTCACGGCTGCCGTGCCTTCCTGCTCTTGGCCTGGTTCTGCTCCCCCTAGAAAGAGAAACCGCGTGAATATCAACCCCAGCCTGTCGCACCTTGTTCTCCAGAGGCAGCGCCCATCCCACTGGGTGCAGGAAGCAACACGGCTTCGCTCTGCCCCGGTCACCTCCCAGGAGACCTGGTGATGGCAGGGTCCCTGCTGAGCCAAAAAGCGACTTCCCCTCCCCCTCCACACACACACACACACACACACACACACACACACACACACACACACACGGAGGCTGCCTGGCAAACTCAGCTGTAGGCGAGTATTGAAATCCTTTGGAAAAGCAGGTTTCTGCAGAATTTGAATGCAAAAGTTTCCTCTAGTCATTTTGTTTTGAACGGAGGAGAAGGAGGCAGTGGAGTTGTTTCTTCCAGTCGCTTGCTATGCAATGGCTGCAGGAAGGCTACTGAGCCTGTTTCTCTCCAAAATGAGTTGTTGTTTTAACAGGAATTAAGCTCGTGCTGTGCTATAGCCTGAGTGTTGGTGTCCCCTCAGAGTCACATGTTGGAATTCAAACCCCTAATGCAATGATATTAGGAAGTGGAGCCTGTAGGAGGTGGTGAGGTCATGAAGGTGGAACTCTCATGAATAGGTTTAGTATAAAGAGACCTCAAAAAGTGCCCTGGTCCCTTCCTCCATGTAACGTCACAGGGAGAAGACAGCTATGAACCAGGAAGCGGGCTCTCCCCAGACACCGAATCTTCTGGTGCCTTAATCTCGGACTTCCAGCCTCCAGAACCATGAGAAATAACGTTTCTGGTGTTGATAAGCCAGCCAGTTTGAGGTACTTTGTTATAGCAGCCCGAACGGACCAAGGCTTACTACATGCCACATACAGCTATGCTTGTCTTAACTTAATAACAACCCAATGAGCTAGGACTGTGCTCGCTCTCACTGAGAGATGGGAAAGGTGACACACCTTAGGTCACTTGCTCAAGGTCACGGAGCTAGACAGTGGCAGAACGCAAACCCGAGTCACCTGGCCGGAGCCGACCCGCCGAACCACTACACCAGGCTACTGTCTCACCCTGGCTGGACCGCCGAGCGCTAGAGATGACGACTCCAAAACGTCTGGGGAAGGACGGGACTGCCTTAATTCACTGTGTCAGAGAGCAAGATCATGACGGTGACATGTGAAAGTCAGGCTGTGACATTTACGGATGGGGACACAAGTGCTCCAGCACAGACAGCATCTGAACAGTCCTGAGCCGGGACACACGGTTCTCTTCAAAGGCAAAATGTGTAGATTCACAAGTCAAGGAATGCTACGCTGTGCTCCTCTGGGCACATGACCGCTTGCGGCTTCTCTTTTATCTGTAAAGTGGGATCGTAAGGGGCCTCCCAGGCCAGGGAAGGGTCACCCAGACAACGCGGTGTGTAGGGCCTTAGACACGGTGAGGTCCTCAACATGGTCACTGCCCGTTAGCCATTTTTAGTAATTACTTATAATCAGTGATTTACACTATTAATAAAGGATCCATGGTTATTGATTACCACAAGCAAAGGACATGGCTAGGTTCATTCTTCCAATGACTTCTTGGCCCAGAGAGTTTTAGGTAAAGGGTCGTTCTCCATGAGTCACTATTGTATAATGGAAAGAAAACAAGTTTTATAGCTCCAAGGCTGCAGTGAGAGGCCAGCCCAACAAGGCAGTCACTTGACGAATGACTTGGAACGTTTAGCCTCCCAGAGCCTCTGTTTCCTATATAATCTGCAAAATGGGTATGCTAGCATTTCCTCTGGGCCCTGTCAAAAAGTGGTCACCACACTGGCCACAAATACTTAGATGACATTTCTGCACTGGATTCCATACTGTCCTCTGTGAAGTCCTCATTCTTTT